GACACTTCTAAATGCATTCTGGCATTGGTTTTGTGTACCGCTCAGCAAATACTTGTAACCCAGTTTTTTTATTATGCACACCCCTGGCTATTTATAAATAAATTATTCACATCATCCATTTGCCAGCACTGAAAGTTCCTAGAATCACTGCTTGCAGTAATCTTACTGCTAGCACAGAACAACTAGCAAGATGCTGCAGATCAGCCCACAGGCAGGCTAAAAACCATGATGGCACATCAGTATAAGTTCTGTCTTAAAGGGAATGCTCTTGTACATATATATTATAGTTAGGGATACAAAAATAGCACTTACAATATTTAATTTTTTCAGCTAGGTAATATGAAATTGTGCATATAAATATTTTAAATTCTTATATTCAGCCAGAAGATAGAGGTTTAGGCTCTTGTTAAAGGAGAACTATTGTGAGAGCAAAATTTACTCTTTCCAATAGTTTGAGCCGTTAAGTGACATTGCAGCTGTCACACACCAGCTCTATCGCTCAACAACTGAGTGATCACGAACCGCTGATTGCTCAGCTCCCGATCTTCTCCCTGCAGAGAGTGGTGACTGTCAGGGCCTGTTCACATGATTTTCAGGTCCTGATCAGGTCTGGATCAGGTGTGCATCTGCAGACACGGTGCTATGTGTTTTTGCCGCGCTTTTGCCGCGTTCCAGTTTAAAAAAAAAAAATTATTATTTTTTGCTGGAGTGGGGCTGTCAGTATGTTAGCTGCAGTGCAGTGCGTTTTTGACACGTTTTGACGCGTTTTGCGTTTCCAGACTGTTTCCTGACTGGACAAAATGTGACATGCAGTATTTTTTCTTTCGTAACCTGAACGGACTGCACACGTGAGAACTGTAGCCCATAAAACACATAGGGACACATTTTTAGTGCAGGAGCGTACGGATCAGGTCAGCACAGAAAACGGACGTCATGTGAACAGGCCCTCAGTCATCGTTCCCTTCAGGGATTCTCCCCTTCTCTCTCTGTTCTTCCAGCAATCATTGGAGGGACAGACAGGGGAAGGGGCAGCCACAGCTGGCTCTGGCTGTAGAGAGGGCAGATCCAGCTGTCAATCAGGAAGTGGGCCGGATCCCAACAATATTGTCGGCATCCTTTTTGGCTGCAGCATGGCTCAATGCTGTCAGCATATAGCAGGCAAAAGACCACTATTTGCTGAGTTTGGGTGACAGCAGTACATTAGTAAATGTACTGCTGTGACCCAAAAGAGAACTAAAGCCAAAAAAAGTTTGGCTTTAGTTCTCTTGTAACAGGTTTTTTAGTTTCTCTTTCTCCTCCATTTGTAAACACCTGCTGCTTATAGAGCTCAGCACCTCCTGCTAAATTGAACACACATCTGGCTGCCCATAGAGTTACATTAAGCTTCCAATCAGATCCACCTGATAGGCAGATCTAAAGAGACTGACCCATGTTAAAGGGGTTCAAGTCTGTTTTTGCTCTTTACTGTCCAATTACATGGGACATTTGACAGTCTTAAGGTGCCCATACACCTTACGATTATGGTACGATAATTGTATGCGATCGACTTTTCGTACGACAATCGTAACGTGTGAATAGAGTGCCCGACCGGTAGTACTGTACAATCGTACGACTTTGACGGTCAAGCATGTTTGAAAACTTTGGTCGATCGTACAATGTTCGCGTGGTTGGTGGCGTTTCAGTCCATCAAAAGTCGTACGATTAACACTGCGCATGCGCAAACTAAAATAGTTGCGGTCAATTACCGCAAGACGTCCCGGTGTTTTTTTTAACTACCGCTGATTGAACCTTGCGATAATCGGGGCAGGATGGGGCCATCGTATGAAAAGTTTTGTCAGATGTTCGTAAGGTGTATGGGCACCTTTAGTATCTTTAAATGAACTGAGGTATATTAAATAACAGATGTTTAGCTATTAATATCTTATTTCGCCATTGTGAAAGGCAAGGCATTTCACTGGAGCACATCCTTCACTGTTATGCTGAACCTCCACTCTGCTTATTAGCTAAACATAAAATGCTCAACACTGCTTAGTCCACAGATATAAATTCCTAAATAAGTGAGCAAAATTAAAAATGTTCAACAGCCAAAGTCTCTTTTAGCCTTTGGAAGATCTCTCTGTTACTCTAGAGGGGTTATTCACTAAAGAGCCATAGGATCCAGCCATAGCTTCAGCTGATCCTTTGGCTCTCTTCGGCTCTCTTCGGCTGCCTCTGTCCTTCAGTTCAGTCGAACCGAAGGGCTGATGTACAGGCTATTGATAATAGCCCGTACAGCAGCAGAAGGCAGCCGAGCTGAAGTGACACCCGAAGCGTGGAGAACAGTCGGTCGAAGCTGACAGATCTCCACTCAAATGACAGCTGGGCAGAGCAAGCTGTGATCTCACTGCTCGCTCCGCCCAGTTGTAATGACAGATCAGCATTCCCAAACGACCTGGGGATGCTGATCTGTCATTAAACAATAACAACTGGGTGGAGCCGGCTGTGGCATCATGGGTGGCTCTGCCCAGTTCTTATTCATTGGTCGGGACCTGCTAGAAGACACTGGCAGGTGCTGGTCAATAGGAAACAGTTGCGCAGAGCTAGCTGTCACTGCTAGCTCCGCCCAATTGTTTTTCTTTTGCCGGGATCTTTGATGGCTTTTTTAATTATCTTTAATTTTCTTTTCTTTAAACTATTTTAAAACATTTTATTTTCCTATTTTCTTACATTTTAAAATAATTTTTCAACTTTTTTTTAAAATTCATTTCAGTTATTTTCTATTCTGCTTGGTACCTCGATGGTACCGAGCAGAATAGCCAACCCGGATGCCGCTCAGTGGCATTTGGCTATTCACTTACTGCTGTTCGGCCCCTATGAGAATAGGGTAGAATGGCAGGGAGTGGGTTGCCGGAGCTTAGGCTCAGCCGATCCAAAGGAGTCGAACTCCTTCTGCACATCAGCTCAGCTGAACATGCAGCCAATGTACAGCTGAAATCAGACGTACAAGCCAGAAGTGAATAGCCGAACAGCATTCGGCTCACTTCACTTCAGCTGGGTTATTCACTCAGCTGACCTTGTCAGCTGTGTGAATAACCCCCTAGGTCTTATTTTTTGGCAAGCAGTAAGTCATGTTACAAGGTAGATGTAGCAGGTAGTAGATATATCATATTACATACATATATATCAGGTAGAAGTATTATATTATCAGGACAATTTATATACACATTTGCTTGTTCCATGTCAAAACATTCTTGAGTAGTGAATCAAGACAAAGGTAGCCAGCCCAGGAATGTGCACCTTAAAAAAAGCCAGCTCTGTCCTGTAAGATTCTGTTTTATAAATCTGCCTATGGATGTAAACAGATATTTATATATTCTACTATTGAGAAAAAGTGAACACAACTAACATCTTACAAAATTAAAAAAGAAAATATGAATAATTACTGAAATTAAAAATGATTCTTGTTTTAGTTAAGATGACCACATTAAAAATTCTAAAAACGTTAAACAATGTACAGTAGTTTCCTTTTCTAGCACTACGCAGAGAGCTAAACATGTTTCCTATTGTAACTCCATATTGCTGACTTTTGATAATTACACAGGGATTAGGGCTCTTTACAGCAAAAGCTGTGAAAATGTGGAACAGTCCTCCACAGGAATTGGTTCCAGACAAACAGTACATTGCTATAAAAAAGAACTAAAGTATTTCTAAATGCTTCTTCTTCCCTGTTTGAGCAAATTGAGCCATGCTTAATAGGGGCCTTTTGTCTCAACTGAGGGTTTAGGATTCTGAGGGTGCAAGGTTTTAAATGTATTTATTGTTATACTCAATAGATGTGTCTTTTCTCAAACTATGGGGTCTATTCACGAAGATGCCGAAGGATCTGGCCGTAGCTTCGGCCGATCCTTCGGAAACGAGCATGTCAGAATAGAAAAAAAAAACTATTTTACCATTGAAAAGCATTGGGACATTACTATTGGCTATTTCAATTTGCAATAGCCAATAGTAAACTAGCATTGTACCCACCCTCTGCTGCAGTTCCCCATCAGGTCCATCAGCAGAGGGCGGGAACAATGCTAGTTTACTATAGGCTATTGCAAATTGAAATAGCCAATAGTAATGTCCCAATGCTTTTCAATGGGAAAATTCTCTCTTTTTTTTTTTCTATTCTGACATTGATCGTGTCAGAATAAAGAAAAAAAGACACAGTGGTGTTTTTCTCCTGGGCGGCCGGGAGCGGGAGGCTCCCAGATCGCCCGGGAGAGTTTTTTTTTTTCGTTTTTTTTTACAGCAGCAGAGCCGCGGGACAATAGAAAACTATTGGGCGGAGCTAGCTGTCACTGCTAGCTCCGCACAATCGTTTTCTATTTACTTTTTTTTTACTTTATTCACTCTTGAATAAAGTAAAAAACTGCTGAGCATGTTCGGCCGACCCGAAGCCACTCGAAGCAAGCCGATGTACTGCTGAAATCAGCCGTACCAGCCTGAAGTGAATAGCCGAACAGTGTTCGGCTCACTTCACTTCAGATCGGTCATTCACTCGGCTGCCCTCAGCAGCTTGGTGAATAGACCCCTATATGTAACTAATTTAAAAATACATTTTGCACGCTGCAAAATGCAGTTTATCTGCTAAATCAATCCTCATAGTAACATACTCCCCTCCTCCCTATACCATGGATACATTCTTACTGCAAGTAAGTGGACAGGCAGCTCAAGCAGAGTAGTGTCTTTGATGCCTTTGGTTTTAACAGCAAAAAAACTATTTACTTTTATCAAATCATCTCTCACCCAAAGTGATAAGACAGTCAGGCTGCTTTAATAAGTGATTTTTATTGATTTAGAGAGGAAGACAGAGTAGGACGGCTTGGAGGAAAAAAAAACTAATGAATCCTTAGTATATACTTAATTTTATATCCACTTACTGTTTTCATTTACTTAACAGTTTGTGGAGTACAAAATTGTAATTTTCACATTCTGTATTGCTTGAAATCAAATTGATATAAGCAGGAATTTCCCTTTAATTGATAGTATATACGCCATGTTATAATTGAAGTTGCTTTGCTTTATACACATTCATTCTGGTCTTTTCTGCTTTTGCGAAGAACTAGGTTTAGCTCCTTGATAACATTCTGTGGCAGTTGTACGTTTGCTGACAGCTTTTTATTCAGCTGATCAGTGGGATTGTGTAGTCTCTTGACATCTATTGTGTCTAGTTCTTTTGTGTCACCACTGTAATTCTCAGGACTGTCAAGGTCAACCAAACTGTAGTGTTTCTTCTGGCTCATAAGCCTTTCTTCTTTATTGTCAAAAACCTCTGCTATCATAGACATCCTCTGCTGCACTGCGTTGGTGAGTTCTTTCTTGGATATTGCAGGTCTCACTTTTCGCCTTGTTTTTTCAGACTATTGAATGATAAAACAGATTGCACATAAATAAATCATGTAGACTGTTTGGGCATCACCAGTGTATATAAGAAAACAAACAGGGAATCTACAGCACAGTGTATCTCTAAAATGTGTTTAAGACATGTTGAATTAATCCCTGTATGTCAACTAGTTAAATGGACCCTACTTGTATTTTTTTCTAGCAGCCGTTCCTTGGTTTGCCAGTGTCCCTCTTCCTATATAGTTACTTTATCCTTGACAGTCAGACTCATTTTCTGATCCTGAAATTATTTCTTTAGTACTCTTAAACTGTATCCAAACCCAGAAACGTAATATATTGAAGCCTAACAGTCATTAGATGTGTCTGCATTTTTTTTCCAAATAGTAAAGTATATCACCAACGCACGAACGTAAAATTTTCAATGAGTGGTCATTTTATTGATGTACACACATATCGTCATAAAGCAACATTTTGGGGCCACTCAGGGTCCCTTCATCAGGCATGACTGATGAAGAGACCCTGATTGGCCCTTAAACATTGCTTTATGACGAGATGTGTGCACATCAATAAAATGACCACTTGTTGAAAATTTTACTTTGGTGATATACTTTACTATTTGGATTTGAAGTGGTGCCATCCACTATCACTGCAGCACCCACCTTAAAAGGGACATACATAGTAAGCAGTGGGGTGGGGACATCTTTGGAGCTTGCATTTTTTCTATCCCTTTATGTTCACCTGGTTATCCTGCCAGTAACACACTTCCTGCCCTAGGATGACAAACCTTGCCCACCTTACTTTACCTATGAATGAGCAGCATTGTCTCCCTAGGGCAGGACAACAGAACTGCTCTTCCCCTCCACGTCTTTATAACATAGGGGATGTTCTGTAGTCCACAGAGGCAAAACCTTTTTGACTGTAGTCCACAGAGAAAACCATGAACAATGCTAATTATTAAAAGTCAGTAGACAAAGAGAGCAAATAGAGAAAGCTATTAGTTGCCAAGAATTATGGCAGAAGCAACAGTTTTTTGTGCACTTTACAGATGTAAAAAAATTCTTCAATAAGATATTTCCCATTAGTATTTAGGACAAACAAAAGGAGCAAATAAGAAAAGTTAAAGTGATATTAAAGTCAAAGGGTTTTTAAGCTATTTCAAATGCTGATGTATACAATTAAATTATTAAAAGTGTTACTTTCCTGCAGAATCAGCTGTTCTTCTGAGCACTGGCCCTGATGTCCTGTTTTAGGGGGGCTCTTTTTCCTTGCAGGGTCCTATGGAGCCACCCTTGTGTGTAGGTAGTAGATTGACAGCTGCTGGAGTTTGTGCTCTCTCTCGTGATCTTGTAATGGACAGGAAGTTTAGGCACACTGAGCTGAGAGAGTTGGAGCCAGCTATTCAGAAACATGATGACTGTAAGTGTGTGGACAAAAATGTAAATAAATACTTTGCTGGGCAATGCATATTGTTTTTTTCTTGATTCATTATTGAAAAAGAAGTAATACTGCTTTAATTGTTAGCCCAGCTCCATCCAAACATTCATGAGAATAACAGTTGTCACCGGAAAACAAGTATTTTGCTTCAGTCTGTGCCTCCACTAGAGAGAGTAAACGTCACTTCCTGTCCCCACAGAAAACAAAGCCGGAAAAGCTCCCTAATGGGGATACTCTAAACACTTAATCCACTCAAAACTAATGCATCTGATATGGCACACTATCAGAGCTGTAGGTACTTCTATCACCAGTCTGATATACAATGTTACATATAACAGAGTTAAAATGATTACATGCATTTATACACTCACTGGCCCCTTTATTAAGTACACCTGTTCAACTGCTTTTTTTTCCATATACATTTTTTATTGAAGTTAAAATACAAGAAAGTGACAGGGTAAGTTAAAGCATATTCACAGTACTCCAATGTACATACAGTATTAACATTGCATTTATGAATCGTATCCTGGAATTTGGCGACCTCTACCGCAGAGGGTTGACAGACGGGCTAAGTTTACGCTTTCAGGTGTGCAGATGATTGTTTCAGTAAGTATTACAAATAAGTAGTTGGAATGCAGAGGTCGCAGACCTCTTCCTGGGACGTCTGGTGTTAAGGGGGTAAGAGTAACCCGTTAAGGGTGTGCGGCAGTTCAGCGTGGTGGTAGAAGTGTGTTTTCCAGGTTTCGATGTACAATATGGCTGGAGTACAAATGATGACATAGAGGGTGAAGATCAAGGGAGAACAGTGAGGGATGAAGGAGAAGAGGGGTGAAAAGAAAAGGGTGAGGAACGTCAGGCTGCGAGCGGGAAAAGGGTTGGTGCTATAAGACTAATATAGTGCTCCCCCATCATAAGGTAAGGAGGTGATGGCTGATGTCAGGGGGTGTAAACATGTCAATCCAGGGGGACCATATTTTCTCAAATTTCTGCATAGTGTTTTCCTTCTGAGCTGTTCAACTGCTTTTTAACGTAAATATCTATAAGCCAATCACATAGCAGCAACTCAATGCATTTAGGCATGTAGACAAGACATGGTTAAAAGGATCTGTTGAAGTTCAAACCGAGCATCAGAATGGTGATGAACGGTGATTTCAGAGACTTTGAACATGGCATGTTGTTGGTGCCAGACGGGCTGATCTGAGTATTTCAGAAACTGCTGATCTACTGGGACTTTCACGCACAACCATCTCTAGAGATTGCAGAGAATAATCAGAAAAAAAGAAAATATCCAGTGAGCGGCAGCTCTCTAGGCAGAAATGCCTTGTTGAGGTCCAAGAAGAATGGCCTGATTGGTTCAAACTGATAGAAAGGCAACACCAACTCAAATAACCACTCGTTACAATCGAGGTATGCAGAAGAGCATTTCTGAATGCACAACACATCAAACTTTGAAGCAGATGGGCTACAGCAGCAGTAGACCACACCGGATGCCTCTCCTGCCAAATAAGAACAGGAAACTGAGGCTACAATTCAAAAGGGCTCACCAAAATTTAATAGAAGATTGGAAAAATGTTGCCTGGTCTGATGACTCTCGATTTCTGATGCAACATTAGGATGGCAGGGTCAGAATTTGGCGTAAACAACATAAAAACATGGATCTATATTTCTTTGTATCAATGGTTCATGCTGGCAGGCAGTGTAAGGGTGTGGGGGATATTTTTTGGCACACTTTGGGCCTCTAATACCAACTGAGAATCATTTAAATGCCACAGCCTACCAGAGCATAGTTATTGACCATGCCCATCCCTTTATGAACACAGTGTACCCATCTTCTGATGGCTACTTCAAGCAGGATAACATGCCATGTCACAAAGCTAAAATCATCTCAGACTGGTTTCTTGAACATGATAATGAGTTCATTGTGCTCAAATGGCCTCCACAGTCACCAGATCTCAATTTAATAGAGCACTTTTGGGATGTGCTGAAATGGGAAATTCACATCATGGATGTGCAGCTGACAAATCTGCAGAAACTGCGTGATATTATCATGTCAATATGGACCAAACTCTCTACGTCCCTGTTTACTAGACATGTGCAATTCGTTTTGGAAATATGTGTTTTTCGGACGAATTTTCTTTAATAACAGAAATAACGAATGAAAATTAATCCGAATTTCCGAAAATGACATTTTGGACGTTAGTGGTAGTCTGTGCGAATTTACGTTTGTGGACGAATTTTCTTTGCAGCAAAGTGTCTTTCCTGTCACTTTGCTGCAACAAAACGAACGAAACGAACATTTGTACAGACTACCGCTAACTAATGTCGTCCGAATCCCGAAAGTAATTGAAACTAATTGACTTTCGGACCCAGATCACAAAAAACGAAATAACGCAAAATCTGAATCAAAACGAAACATTACACATTTTTTGCCACTGCACATGTCTACTGTTCACACATTGCCATTACACAAACGTGTACCAAAGCGCATGTTTTGGTGCATGCTCATGCAACACATTCAAAGCATGTGCTTGCAGTGCCATTACTGTTAATGGCACCCCAAATGCAGCCAGAAAAAAACACATGTTTTTCCCCACATGTGGATGCATGACAATTGCACACAACTGCATGGGATAAAAAGCAGAAAGCTTGCAGATGACAATGTTGCATGAGCTACTTTTCCACAAGTGTCATGCTTGAAGCTGCCCATTAATTAAATGGGGTGGCATGTGACAATGGCGGCAAAAATGCACACGTATGCATGTGAACATGCACAAACGTGCATTCATGTGCATAAATGCATTGCTGGGTGTGAATTGGATCTAAGGAATGTTTCTAGCTTCTTGTTGAATCTATGCCATAAAGAATGAAGGCATAGAAGGCAGTTCTACAGACAAATTGGGGTACTAACAAGGTGTACCTAATGAAGTAGCTAGTGAGTGTATATATCTCATTTACTGGTACATAGTGATGGGGCGAACACCCCCAGGTTCGGTTCATATTCGAACACCTGAACGGCTGAAAAGTTTGAATACGAACTTGAACCTAATGCAAGTCAATAGGGATCGAACTTTTGAACATGATTGTCCCCTTTAAAAGGGCTTATATGCAAGTTATTGGTCATAAAAGGTGTATGGGGGTCCGGGTACTGTTCTGGGGACAGGAATCAATGAAAAAAACAAACAAAAAAAATACAGTTTTTACAGGAGCAGTGATTTTAACATCACTTAAAGGGTAAGTAAAAAAAAATATTGTGCCTGGTGGTATACCCTTAATCTGCCTGTGAAGTGGCGGATCTGTAGGATGTATAGAACCTGCTGCAGCAAAACTGACATTTCTAAAAAAAAAAATGACATTTCTTTTTTTACTCTTAAAGTGTGCACTTCCCCCTCCCAAACAAAACCAGACCCTTTAGGTCTGGTAGGAATGTTAGGAGGGACCATTTTTTTTAAAAAAAGCGTAGAGTTCCCCCTAAAAGTCATACCAGACCCTTAACGTCTGGTAGGAATATTTAGGAGGGACCCATGTACAAAAAAAAGTGTGTGTGGTTCCCCCTCAAAGTCATACCAGGCCAGGTAGGAATAGTGAGGAGGGACACCATGTAAAAAAAAGTGTGTGGGGTTCCCCCTTAAAGTCATTCCAGGGCCTTAAGGTCTGGTAGGAATTTAAAGGAGGAACCCTGTTTGGGGGGGAAATGTGGGGTCCCCCCTAAAATTCCATACCAGACCCTTGATCCGAGCATAGGCCTGGCAGGGCCGAAAGGGGGGGGGTGAGCGCCCCACTCCCTCCCACACCTGGCCACATGCCCACAGCACTGGGAGGGTGTCCCCATGCCGATGGGGACAAGGACCTCGTTCCCACAACCCTGACCCGGTGGTTGTGGGGGTCTGCGGGCAAGGGGGCTTATTTGCATTGGGGTACCCTTTTATTTAAGGGGGCACCCAGATGCCGCCCCCTCCCTTGTGAATGAGTAACAGGTACTTGTACCCCTACCCATTCACTAAAGGGTTAAATAAAATAGTTATTAAAAAGTCCAGACTTTTGATAAAAGAGACATGTTTTTGACAAGTCTTTTATTTAAAAAAAATGGATCCACCGACGTAATCCAGGGTCAATCACGGTGTCCAGCGTTGTCCACAACGACGCCGAAATAAAAAAAAACTATAAAAATAAATAGAAATAATAATTAAAAAAAACAACTGACGACCGCTGTCCTGTCCACTCCCTGCCGACTTCCGCCACATAATGGCATTTTGACAGATGGCGTCAAAACATAAACAATTGGGCGGAGCTAGTGGTGACAAATTGTGTAGTTTGCCGGCATCTGATAGGCGAGACATGATTGGGCAGAGTCATCATGACTTTGCCCAATCATTGCTTCAAATGAGTACTGAGCCTTGATTGGGCAAAGTCTTGCACCTGACCCGTGGTCAGGTGCAAGTCTTTAACTAATTAGAGCTTCAGAGGGCTCTTTGCAGTATGGGATATTGCGCGGTCGAACAGACCGCGAACATCCCATAAAGTTTGGCGTTCGGCAAACGCTCGAACGGCCAATGTTCGACTCGAACTCATGTTCGAATCGAACTGGCGGACCATCCCTACTTGTACAGAGCCAGCGAGTACTAAATAAATCAAATATTATATGAGTAAACTGTCAATACAATTTTATTATAATTAAATATTGACAAAAATAGCTAGCAATGAAATGTCCATTATCGTATCACAAGTACACAATGGCTTGCAACAATGTTCTACAATTAATATAATTACAGTTCAATTCACAAGAGCTTCCTTGGATTTGAACCTCTAATGCAGCTGCAAGGATTAACAAACTGTTTGAATGCCAGGTTTCAAAACTATCTCAATAAATATATACTACATTTTGTTTTGACTATTTGCTTGACCCAGCCTATAATTATTACAGATTCTGAAGTTGTTAACCCAGACACAACAAGAATTATGTTAATAATTTTTTCCACACAAGAGCTACTTGTCATTCAGAATAAAACAGAACACTGTTTAATCTTAAGCACTTAATTAATATTATTATCCTCACTAACTTATATGTAGTGTAATTTAGTGTATTGCTGTTACTAAGTACATAATTATTTGGACACAGCTATAAAACAAAAGCTTGAATATGTAAAATATCAAGTTTACCATTGGCATAGGCTGAATTTCGGTAGTGTCCTTCAACTTGTTTCCATGCAATCCTCTCATTTGTAGGCTTTTTACTGTTAGCATTTGTTCAGTTTTTCTTCTTGGAAGAAACTCACCAGCACACTGTATAAAGCATTTTAAATATATATCAATATGTTGATTTCATAAAAGTAGTCTCAAACTGCATACATATTTATTTACAGTTTATCTCTACCAATTGTTTATGCTGAACTAAAAAAACAAAAACAAATAACTAGGTATGCGTGTGTTAATCATTTGTGGACATTGGGCATACTAAACATACCCAGAAAATTAATTGAGGTACACAGGGCATACGTAGTTCCCCTCCCTTGCACTGTCCAAAATTCCAGACTGTCAAAATGACAGAAGGGAGTTGCTGTGTAAATACAGTAGTTGTGGAAGCAGCTACTGTCAAAAAAACAGACTAACACAGTAATTTTTTATTTTTTTGTAAATTATTATTTATTTATCCAATTTTCAATTTTCAATAGAAACCATAACGTCACAAAGTCATTTTTTAACACTGTTCAGAAATAAATAGATACAAAGTAACATTGTTATCTTTTGTATCTACTTTGTTTCAATTATCTGCAGTTTAAATAAATGAGCTTCCATCTGCATATGATGTCAGTTAAAGCCACTCTAGTTTATCCTAATCAGCTGTAGTTATCTCCTAAAGGTGGCCATACACTATGGGGGTTATTCACAAAAGCAGCCGAGTAATCCAACCGAAGTGAAGTGAGCCGAACTACGTTCGGCTATTCACTTCAGTCTTGTACGGGTGATTTCAGCCGCACATCAGCTAAAATCAGCTGTATCGGCTGCTTGCAGCTGTCTTCGGTCAGCCTAACATGCTATGCATGTTCGGCTGAGCCAAAGTGCAGAAGGACTTTGACTCAGCCAATCCAACATTTGGATCGGCTGAGCTGAAGCTCCGGCAGTGGATGAATAGCCAAATGCAGATGAGCGAGGTACCAAGCAAAATAGAAAACCAGTGAAAATAATGAAAAAAAAAGTTGAAAAATATTTTTAAAAAGTAGGAAAATTAAAAAATAAATAAAAACATTTTAAAGAAAATGTAAATAAAAAAAACCATAGCACGCCGACCCGACTGCATGCGATGGACTCCCACCGCATAATAAAGTATCTGACAGATGCTGGCAAAAGAAAAACAATTGTTTTTTTATTGGCACGCACCTGACAGAGTCTTCTAGCAGGTCCAGGCTAACGAATAACAACTGAGCTGTGCCGGCCATGATATCATGGCCGGCTCCGCCCAGATGTTATTGTTTAATGACATATCACCATCCCCAGGTCATTTGGGATGCTGATCTGTCATTACAACTGGGCGGAGTTCGACTGAACGAAGGGCAAAGGCGGCCAAAGCGAGCCGAAGGATCAGCCAAAGCTATTATTATTATTTCCATTGCGCTACGGCTGGATTCTTCGGCTCTTTGGAGAATAACCCCTATGCGATTTTCCTTCAGAGATAGTACACAAACGGTCTTTTAGATGTTATTTGAACAGTTGATGGTACATCACCAATTTTCATTTTTGACATTGTGATCGAAAAAATTTCGATTGGTCAAGTTGGAAAATTTTTCTCTGACCAAATGAAAATCGATGAAGCAGTGGGGTTTTCATTCATCAAAGATCGTAGCAAGAACACAGCACATGCGCAAAACAAAATGATTTCCAATGTGCATCAAAAAATTGGTTGGTTAGTATGGCTAACAAACGATTTCTGAAATCGACATTTGTCTATGCTTGATGGGGTATTTGAGCTATAAGTAAGTGCTGGTTCACACCTGGGCATTTTTCAGCGCTGATCGAAGCACAGAAAAACGCTTAACATTTGAAATCCCATGCATTCCTATGGGCCTGGTTCCCACCTGGGCATATTTTAGCATGTTTTGTTGCGCTGAAAAACGCCCTACGTGCAAAAAAGTACATGAGCTTCTTTTTGGCAGATTTCAGCGCTGATTCTGCCAGACTTCAATGGAAACACCCTTAAAAGGGCATTTGCACATTTTCATGTGGAAAAAATGCTCGTTTGTACGCACGTTTTTCACATGCAAACAGGCACACAGGGCTTCTAGTGATTTCAAAAATGCGCGTAAAATGCACGTTTCAATGAACACAAAAACGCACAAAAAAGTGCATAAACGCAAGGAAAAAAACGCGCGTAAAAAGGGCATAAAACACGCATAGAAAAGACGCCCATGTGTGAACCCATACTAATCCAACGATGGTATGTGGAAGAAATTTCAGACTGAAAATCTACTGGTGTATGGCCACCTTTATTCCCCTTGTCACCTTAGCTATTATTTTCCTGCTTTTTTTGTTTCTATTTATCTAAACATTAATAGTTAAACTTTTTTCTTTGTATTCATTTTATTAATTCTTAAATTTCTTAAATAACTTTGCAATGCTTTGTAGCAGAATCATAATTTAGGTGTCATTTTAAATATGACAAATTATAAATATAATTTACAGTTTATCTACAGCAACATATTTTTTTGAAAACTAGTACTGATCAAAGTAGAAAAAAAAAGAGAGGACCTCATTAGCATGCTGCTTCTCCTTCCCTGTGCAGTCACAGGCTGTAGGCAGGAAAAAACCTAGGGACAAGACTCAACTGTGGTAGAGCCCAGGCTTGCTGTGCTATGTGGAAAAATGGTCAAAAACTCAGGAGTGAATACAGAGAGATAAAAATCATTTGGCGGGTGCAACAGCATTCATATATGTATTTCATCTGTGTATTTAGCTGTTTGCCTATTGTTCTGCTCTAAGATTCTAAAATAAACATAATAGGGCTGAATTTGTGAAGAAGTGAGCTGTGTTCACTTCAAATGTCCCATCATTTGATTGATCAGACTCTTTTATTTTTAATTTTATTATTTCCCTGCACATAATTAGATGTTAGAAATATCACATTCCACCTTATTAAATATGGTCCATTATCACTTTAACGAGCCTAACCACTCTTCCATATGTTTCACACTTTAGTAAATCAAGCTTACAACAGATGGTCCTGTGAGTTTCCTGCACACTTTTTACATTTACTGGTGTTAGATTTGAGAAACTCATCCTATAAAAATCAAGAGTAAAGCACTGACTGACAGATTATACTATTCCAACTGTTGGCTTAGGATGGCAAGTAGGCAGATGAAAAACAAATGATAATAAAAAATAACGAAATGCAAGAGCTCTGATGTGACCATTATTTAAAGTAAACTAGTCTACAGTATATGAAACCATTAGAAATTGGTTGCAGGTTTAAGTTACATAGGCAGCACAGCACAGTAGTCCATTATAGGCCGTCTGCAGCCATCAGCAGTCTTATAACTAAAAACATTATGCAGTTGATTGATTGATTGATTTGTGCGATCAATCACTACAAATCCATCCATCCTCTGATCCACAACTGAACTGATGCACTCCTAAGCGATTGTGAACACGGCAGTATGAATCACCTACCCCTTACTTTTAACAAATATTGGCAGATATGAGCCCATCTATACAAATTCAGTTTGTCTTCAACCTGTGATTAATTTGGTAGATTCAAGTGGATTGTCATTATGTAGATGGGAAAAACACAAGAGTTGGCCTGTTGCCAGTCGATATGTTTTTCAATGGATTAATTAACACTACTACTTCCTGATAAAAAAAGGGCTGTGTGCTTTGATTTACAGGCTTCTCCCAAAGTCCATCAATAGGAATAGTTAATGAAACTGCACAGTGTCTATGTTTGCATGTGTATTTGTATTTCTCTTGTCTACACAGTCCAATCTGTAAAGTGACACTAAACTCATGAGTTAAATCTTAAAAATACATTAAATTGCCTTAACTAGGAACAAAACTGTATCTTATTTGTGTATCACTCACCTGTAGATTCTCAAATCATCTCTGAATTGGTGCTGACACTGTTCTTTCTTTTGCAGGGTGGCTACTTTTGTTCCCCGTGGTCCCTGTGTGTGTTGTAAAGTAGTCACCTCTCCAAGCTCACTCCTGTGATGAACTACAGTCTCACATTTAATTTACTAATTTGTATTGAGATTGTAGTCCATCACAGGAGTGAGCTTGGAGTGGTGGATTCTTTACAACACACACAGGGACCATGGGGAACAAAAGTAGCCACCCTCTAGAAGGAAGGACAGTGTCAGCACCAATTCAGAGATGATTTGAGGATCTACAGCTGAGTGATACACAAATACGATTTTTTTAAATAGTTAAAGTAACATTAAAGGCTCGTTTTTTCCCCCCATGCTGCTTTAAGTACTTACCTTATATGATGCCTTTTGATGTGAAAATCTTGTTCCTTCCACTCGTTTCCAGCAGTCCACTTGGCACTGGTGCTGCTCTCTGATCCAGCGCAGACTCCTATTTCTTCCTGTGTCCCACGGAGTCTACCCTGCATGCACGCTCCCGGCTGCATGCATTCACTTACACTGTGTCACTCCTCCTTTCCCCTCCGGTGATATCAAGAGCGCATGTGCCCGCACACATCATGATCCTGCACGGCTGTTCAGGAAGCTGTGTTCTGCAGCCGGAGGCGAGTGGCGCAGACACAGGTAAGTTATTACATATTTGGCCACTTTTTTGTTTTTTAAATGTTGGGGCATGTATCTACTATATATCTACTGCTTGTTAGCAATAGATATATGTTTAACAATGGAGACTTTAGTACCACTTTAAGGTACTTGCATTTTTAAGATTTAATTCATGAGTTCAGTCTCACTTTAAGGCAGAAATAAAAGTCCACTCATTAGTCTGGTCAAGTGTTCCATATAGAATTATTAAACATGCTTTTAATGTAGCTAGTATCAATAATTAAAACTGTATTTACATGATCTACTCATGGTTTTCTATACAGAAGGATGTGAGAGGAATCAGCAACCATTAAGGCTCTACTGTTTTGCATGATGTCATCGGTCTTACACTTAAAGATTTCTGACAAGCAGGGAGGACAGAATAAGCATTATAGTACTAATTCTGTCTTTCCTGCTTGTCAGCAATCTCCAAGTGTAAGACTGATGACATTTTGCAATGCAATATTATGCATTATCCAGCCTGGGTGGTAACCATTGCTCCCTCCATAG